ATGCAAGGTTTCATGCCAGACTTACTTAAAACAATATGATGAGCGGAACCTGTATAGTAATTCAAGCGCTGTATGAAATTGCAGAAATTTTCTTTGCTATTCTTCCTCCATTGTCTCCTTGTCCGTTGGCTTGTTATATCCCTATCCATTTTTTACCTCGATCTTTTGAACCTTGTTAAATGCTTTGCATGCATGTTGGTTTTCATCTTGATTTGGATGTTTTATCCATAATAATTGTATTTCAGTGACTGAAGAATACGGTTTCCCACATTATTTTTAACACGAGTTAAGGCAAACTTGTATAAGGGTTGACTTCAATTTCGTCTCCGGAAGACAGGCACGAGCAAAATGTACAATAAATTTCATCAACGATCACCACTTGTGTGATCAGTGGTTGAACTTTTTCACCTTTTGTCCATTCGATGTCGTCAGACTTCAATAGAATTCGTCTCAACTAATAATCATCGGCATAACGTAAGGACTGAAATCGTCTTTGTACAATCGATTTCAAGAATGTTTCGAGCAAGTTCATCAGCTGATGTGCAGTTACTATGCACTGACGTATTATGCACAGTGGATTGTAAGACAAGACAGTGAAAGTTGATATACCGGTACCCATCCAAAGGACAAAAAGATGAACTGAATCAGATTTTTTTGAAAGATGTGAAAATATGACTACGTTTTCTTTTCCTTGAGTACAGGCCTACTGATATCTTGCTCGAAGTGACAAGTATATATTTCATTTTCTTATTATAGACCTTATTTCTTCAGTAGTTGTGGCACTTAAAGGATCCAGGAAATGAATTTTTCTTAGAATCACGGCAGTGGTAAAAAAAAATCTAAACATTTTCTGTGCACAAACCAGTGCAACGTTGAGGTTCAGTGCCTTGAATGACATCATAGTTCTGCTCATGAATATGCAAATATGGATTAGCATACAAGCATCAAAATATGGGTTAAAATTGCAAAACAAAAATTTAAATTAAGGTTAATTGAAACCCAAAGATGCAATTTCAAGGGTTTTTAGTAAAATTTATAAAATATTTCAATTTCCTGGTTCCTTTAAACTTGTCGAACTAAACGGAAATATGCGGAAAAATATAATTTGCCTGTTATGATGGAGAATATTCAGAGTGTAAACATACGTTATAATTTAAAGCAGAAATAAAAAAAGGTATGTTTAAAGTAAAATTGAACAAGCAAAAACATAAAGAAAACGAATGTAGCAGACAATCATGACAAATCAGCTTTCAATGAAAGTTAATGCTGATATTAATTGCGTGCGTTCGGCAATCGCGGACAAAAAAATAATTCTCTCAAGAAAAAGTATGGTAAATGTAAGACTTACTGAGAGTGTTTGAATGTCGTATAAAATGAGCGACGAAATCTCATGAACTTTCGACAGGAATTTGAAGTAACTCATCTAGGAATTTACCCCAAAAAAATAAATGCGCGGGAAAACCAATCAATACTCCTGATGCAGCCCATGCTATTCAAGCTGCTTATAATGGAATATAGCCTCAGTTGCTGCAGGCTTGTCGAAACAATAGCCAACACTCAGACTCTCTCCTGCCAAGCTCTATAATAAACTGTATCAATAATACGCATATTAATTCCATGTGGACCCATGTTAATGGTTCTTTCTTCTAAATCAGCGAAGTATTTTGCGTGTCTTTTAGTTACTTCTAGCTGTGACACTGATGCAACATTTTCATCTAGATCAAAAAAGACGCATAGATATGCTGGGCAGCGATCAGACGTGAAGACTATATTTACAGTATAGGTCTGTTGCATATGAAATTAATTTCCACGTTAGCTGTAGGTATAATCTTACTTTGATGGATAAACCACGTGCACGTCGTACGATATTTATATGAGACTCTATAGAGGTTTCCACGTGATCCATATTGCTCGGTTACCATCTGGGGCTAGACTTGGACTTTACAAGGCCAGTAGCTTTATTGCTTCGATACGGTCTACAAGGCCTCCATCTCACGTTTCTGTGTTCACTTTGTGTTACGTTCTTCTAAACTTGCCGTCGCTTCTAAGCATGCCATTTTGAGAGTTATTGCGGGGGCTGCTGATCCAGCGAAAGGGGCATGGGGGTGCACTCTCCCCTATTTCACCAAAAAACAAACATATGAATAAATAAAAAAGAGGGGTTATACTGCCTGAAATTGGACCGCAAAGCCCCAGAATCCCTGAAGCGAGCCCCGGATCCTACTCGTACGCCGTAAGGGCTGCGCGCTACCTGCTCGGCTCGTGGGGATTTTACCATTACTGCCTTAGTTCACGCCCACCCCCCCCCCTTTGGAAAATCCCGGATCACCCCCTCCCCGGTGGAAAATCCTTGATTGGCAACTGTATTGGAAACCCGGGTTGCAAAACGTGTGTCACGTGCAAAGTGTGCTCATGATGTGGCTATAACTAATAGCAGCAGCTAATAAACGATTTCGCAAATTTTGCGCAAGACTGCCTTGAGAAGTCTTATTACATCTCCTCATGTTTGTGTATTGGAAATATGCCAGCACTGGATCTGAGTCAAATGAATAAAGTAGGTAGGTACTTGGTAAACAAGCGAACAAACTGCAGCTGGAGCCAATATCATAGAGCTGCTAAGCACAAAAGTTGCTTAAGCGCGAGAAAACCTTGCCGTGATAAATCAGGTAGGCCCCTAACCGCAGCCAAAACTCCATGTGACGGTATATTGTTTTGGGATCGAACTTAGCTGACTTTTGGTTAGCATGACAATCAGACAGATTTTGACGTGGTAACCTTTGTTTTTAAGCAAGGTTTTTTGCGATTAAGCAAATTTTGTGCTTAAGCAGTTCTATGAAATTGGCCCCGGTCAATTAATGGTCGACAACGTATTATAAATCTCTGACGCTGAAGAAAATTGAAATAATTCTGTCACATGTAACTTGCCCTGCAGTGGAGGATAAGAACGAAGCAGTCATGCCAACGCATTTGTCCCTTCAGCTGTTTAGGTTCGAAAGATGATTATGATACAGAGAACATGCAGCAAAGGATTCCATTGTTTCTATATGCCATTTTTATGGATTTAATGCAATAATTTAATGCAATTTAATTTTGATATGGATTTTAAATGTTAAGTTTTTCTCTACATCGAAGACAAATATTTACTCGCGAATGTTAACGTTTGCCATTTTCTTGCTCAAATATAAAAGGCTGCCACCGACATTTCCTGTTGGGATGATGAAGTTAGATTAACCTGAAACATGAAGCATAGGCCCGATGATGTGCAATATTTATCGAAGTTATCCATTACCTTTGTTTGAAGCTATAACCCTTATTTTATGGTTTCGTTTTGATTTTATTTTTGTTTATTTGTTTGTTTTGCTTTCACTCTGATATGAAAACGAATGCTATACTTGGAATGTACACAAAACTTGCACCGGCTGTTATTTCACTTAGTTCATAATGGTAATACCAATTTCCGACGAAGGACAATTTATTTGAAGCTTTGATGAGAATTCACGATTAGGTCTATTTCGTTTGGATGGCGACATTTTGGCATTTTTGCTCTCCTTGGTTTTTGTTTGTTTGTTTGTTTTCTTGTTTGTTGGGTTGTTTGTTTGTTTGTTGGGGTGTTGGGGTGTTGGGGTGTTTGTTTGTTTGTTTGTTTGTTTTGTTTGTATTGGGTGGGGTTATTTCCATTTTATTTCTCTCATAGCGAGTATGGGAGGGGGAGCCTTGTTATTTTTTTTTTACCCAGTGCATGTCTAATAGACTTGAAATCAAGTCGGAAATTGGCCTGGTTTTAGTCCGCCCGCGCGCAAGGTGTGATGACGTGTAGCGTGTGGTATCATGTGAGAATGTTCAGAGCAACTCGGCCTTATTCGAGTGCTCAACGCCACTGAACACCGCTGGTTCATAACTTCATTCCGGTATCATATTGAATACGACCCGCGGGTCAGCACGAGTATACTCTCGCTTAAAGGGGAGTACCGCAGTACTCCTGCACCCAGCTATAACGCGCACGCTTCCTACTCTCGTTAACCTGAGTAACAGCGCGAACCGTGCCCCAAATGTCCGTATAGAACTTCTGCGTTCTTTCGCAATGTTTCGTTATTTCGTAATAACAACTATTTTGCTTAGGTCAAATTTGAAATAATGGGCTTCCGTATAAATGCTACTTTTTCCTCATTTCTAGATTTGGATCACAGACTGTCGTAAAATAACAAAAGTTCGTTATACCAATACCGGCGCCCTCGCTGGTGCGAGAAGGGCTTGATTTTTTCATCATCCGAATGGCTGTGCGGTAGACACCACTATTTAATTAAGCAACGCCGTAGGCCTAAACAATATGAATTGAGTGAGATGTTTCGTGGAGATAGTTGAAAATTTCCATTGATTTTGTAAAGAGAGTATTGTCCCTTAAGATAGATGATTCAAGAAGACGGTTTCCCCTGAATACTGTTACATGTACGTACATGTACAGTACGTCTGGGATATTTATTGATGATGGAGAGGCTGAATGTATTAACTTCAGGGAGCCTAGGGCGCATCTTATTAATTAGACGATGAGATTTTGGAGAAATATTCACAAGACTTTCCTGGAAGATGACCAGCTTATCGTTTCTCGAAACTAGCTTCAACATTAGAGGACATTCTTAGATTTTTCGTGAATTTTTTCTTGGCTATATCAGAGTTCTAAGTGAAAACTTGTAAATAGATTTTTTTTAAAAACCACACACTAGACCTAGACTGAGGAAAAACTACTCTCCAACGGCTGCCATTTTTATTCCGGACAAAACTCCTGTGATAATGGGAAATGCAGGAACACATGCCAAGTCACGTTTACTGTCCTTCAATTCATGTTCCACAGAACGTAAACCTCACGCCGATTGCTCTTGAAACCCTCAACAAGCGCCATCTACGTTTCTTTTGGATGGTCAAGTTTTTTTGCAATTTGCAAAATTTTCCAGGGCTAATAAGGTTCTCCTTTCGATAAACCACACGAGCTGCCACGGAAAAAATTGTTTCTGGTCAATTTATTTAATGATTAATCAAAGTTGGATAAGTAATTCAATCTCTAAATCTTCCAGATTGCAGAAGATTTAGGTCAACATAGAGCATAGACGTATTGGTTGAAAACATACATGGTAAAGAACTGCTCAAGAAAATGTAGTTTCATTTTAATTACAATTCCTTATTAGTTCTGTACATACGCTACATATAATATATAGGATTGATAAGAAGATTCAAGTTGATACCTTATAGACAAATCCGACGAGGCGCCATTCCGAGGGGCCTCTTACACTCGCGCACTTGTCTCTGAGCGCGTGCGCACTTCGATAATTGACTGTGCTACCTTTTATTGGTCAAGGAGGAATTTCATGAGCGCGCACCGTCTGCGTGCGAACACGATGGCCCCTTAATAAATGGCTTCCAATTTTGGTCGTCGGATTTGCCTATATACCGCAGAAATGCCACAATTTATCGTGCAGGAAAAAATAACATTACTAAGGAGAAAGAACTCGTCCAAAACAAAACAGGAAATGGGGACTGAATCCGATTACCAAGACAGCTGAGCACTCCTGAGAAAAAGGCAACCTTTGTTCATAGTTTCATTTAGTTATTTTTATTGATTCGGCGAAAGAAGGAGCGATACACTGTTAAAGCTTGCAGATTTACAGATGTAATCTGAAAGGTCCATCTTGACAACACTGACAAAATTACAATTCCCTCTTTTCGTGGTACGTAAAGGTTAACCCCAAACAAAACCCCTAATTGGAAACATCCTGGACATAAGCATAATTAAAATTTTACATCAAATTCGATATAGTAAACCACAAATATAATATAAATCAAAAAATAAAATACGAAGTGTTGGTGTATACCTCATTAATCTTGTTTTGTTTTCTGCCAATAATAATCATGCACTCTTCCACTCTAAGTTCCAATCTTACTTTCCCTGGATAATGTTTTTTCCTCTGTTTATGGTTCACATGGTACATCTGTATATACAATCGATTAATTAATTCAGGTTCAAAACTGACTCTTAACGTACACAACTTTTACCAGTTATAAACTAACTTTATATCTTTTCGATTAAGGTTCAATACCTACTCTAACATGTGCACAAGTTTTAATAATTTTATGATTAATATGAAATACATACCTTTTCCCCACTCTGTTTTGTTCGCTTGGAAGTCAAACGCTTTTAAAATAAAATGACAATTAACATGACTTTTGGCAGCAGACAGTCTGCAATAATTTTGTCTGCAATCTTGCAATCACGACAATGAGGTTAATATTAGCAAATGAAAGCTGTTGGGGTGTGGTAACAAGTGCAGACTGTACATTGAGGATTGAGAATGTTATAAGGACTAGCAGGGCAAAATTTGTGAGATTAATTTCAGCTCCTTTATCTTGGCTGTGATTTTATTTACAGGCAGACGTTTGCAAGCTTTGTACACCTGAAAGCCCTGCACTACCTGATTCTGAAACCAAAAATGAGTTACCCAATAGAACTTGTGCATGGCGGCCATCTTCCCAGTCACTGCTTTTGTTCCACAGGGATACACGGGTAGACCCTTTGTGCATCATGCTCCATAACAAAAGGCACCGACCATCAAGGTCGTCGCCATGCACAACTTTTATTCACCGAGGTGGAACAAGGACAAAAAATGTGGTGTGTATCCCACGTACGTATGGGCAAACCCTACCAGATTCTTCATAGTCCATCTGGTGATTTTTGATGAGGCTTTTTTTTTAAGATTAAGGAAACTGTTCACATTTTTGTGATAATTGAGGGGGCTAGAAATATTTACATATGAAGAATGTGCTGTTGGTTTCCTGGGTGACGAAGGTTTGGGGAGGATCCCAAAACTGCTTGTGGCGTCAAGATGAGTTGACACATTTGTTTAACAGAGCTGCCCCAAACTGCCTGGACTGTTTATTCCCTGTGTGCAGGCTGGCCGAAGCTACCCCACCATTCTGTAGTTATTTGGATTACCAGTGAATAAATGCATCGTGTATAATGTAATTTAGTAAGGGTTCTAAAAATATATTCAATACCACTCCGCACAAACACACACACACCACCTTGCATTCTACAAGCAAGCACACAAGACAACAGACCAATCTTCAAGTAATACAGCCAGGTCCAGTTGCTGAGCCCTGGTCGATTTCCCTTGTTAACAGTGCTGTGGTCCAGACCAGAAGGTCCAAGATTGAGACCAAGATAGTGTCCGAGTTCTGCAAAAATGTGGTCTCAAAAACTCACATCACTGCTCGGGAACCTGAGTAAGAATTGGCGGCTGGAGGACTGATGGTCGGTGATTGGACGTGGCCCGTATTTTATTAACTAAACACAAACGACAATCCTGATACATGATACATGTACATACTATTGAAAATGACGGCTACATGTAGCTGCAAACTCTGTGTAAGACAAGAGTGCAATATGGATGGTACAGTGGCCAGACTGCTGTCGACGTGGAATGGACATGGTATTCATTGCCCTATCCATGGACTGTCCTATCCACGGAGCTGGTGGCATCTTTGGGACAAATGGTAGAATTTTCTTTAAGCTTCTTGGTAAATCGTATATTTACTTTTAAAATGATGTGGGCACGGGCATGGCTAGGCGCCTCCCTTTGAGGCAAAAAATGAGAAAAAAAAAATTACAAAGAAAGAATGACGAGAAAAATCAATTGACGGAAATGAAAACAAAGCCGGGGAAACAATTGCCCACTTTCGTGAAAATGCTTCAGAACTGACCCGTCCACTTGACTGTCTGTCAGTGTGAGTGTGTTTTGCCCCTTCCCTAAAAAGAGCCATGACCCCTGCAGGGTATCCAAGTTATGAGTTGGAGGAGGGGAATAGAAGATATTTCCTGGGAAATTTTTTCCAGCAGCAAGATTTTTTTCATCGAAACCCGCAAGGGTGGTATTTCCATCCCCATGTGCCCTGTTAACAATATTGTGCAGACTATGAACATGGCTCAAAAAGTCTACATGGCGCATGAGCAAAAACAAAAGTAGGCAAAGTAATTACGGCAGTATTGTCAATTCACAATGCTTTGTGAGGGCCATTCCCTCATGCACAAAGTGCCCTCAACTGACATCACTGACTGCAGTCTGCTCAGCTTGTGATCTTGAAATGTTTACAGCTGCACTGACAGGTGGGCACCCCTATGTGGCGGTCTCCCAACCAGCACTTGACAGCCAGTTGCTAATGCAGTTGTCCGTTTGCCATTTGCGGTGATGGGCTGCTGAACTGACTAGCGCCCTCATTTGACAGCCGCTGGCTAGGCTCGGGCATAAACTTGTATTCAGTGGAAACCGGTGCACGGATGCTGAACTGGCCTGAGCCCTCTAGCAACAACCGCTGGCTTGGCTCCGGCATGAACTGGAAGCTGCCTGTGGCTGGCTCCCCGCCGTTGAACTGAGGAGTGGCCTCGTCTGACAGTCGTTGACTTGGCTCTGGCATGTACCGCAATCTGCCAAGTGGATCGGCCAAGAGGTCACCACAGGCGCCTTCCCGAGGAGGTCGTGGGCTAGTGTCTGACGCAATCTTAGCCGATGGTGATTGGCTGCCGAACTGGTTGACACCATCACCTGGCAACTGCTGACCGTTGCCGTACAGAGTCCAGTAATTGCTGGAGTTTGTTGGCAGACCGGCCGACGACTTGTTTGCAAAGGGGAGTGGCATCTTCTGTAACCCTCGCTCCAGCTCTTCATTGGTCTGGTCAATGTCTCTTTCCCAAGCCTCAAGTCTAAACCATGCACAAAAGTAGACACAACAATAAGCACATCAGTGAAGTCATACAAACTACAGAACAGGGCAAGCTCTGTTGACAACTGTGGCTAACTGTTGTTCGACCAACACCGCTTGAATGACTTTATGGTTTGGACCATCTAGTCAACCATTCGGAACCAGGCCCTGGGGAAGGGTAGCAGTGCTGGTTATCAATAACAATATAATTCATCAGTACCTTTTCTCTTTTTATAATTCATCATTTTTTTCTGTTTGCACACTGCTGCCATAGGCATGCAGAGCTTCGATCTGGAAACTCGTACGATCGCGTCAACTCAGCTTTTTGAAAATATTGTACAATCGCATGGTATAAGAACTAACGCAGCACACGCAAAATTACTGAGCACCATCACGCTTTGCAAGCTGCATGCCTATGGCAGCAGCTTGCAAAGAGCGAATGCAGGGAACAATTCATATGAAAATATTTGTATGAGATGACAAAGACCACGTACACCACCAGAGTTGCAGCCAACGTTAAAATGTGAGTGAAAATGTGGATTTTTACAAAATAGTTAGAGGGCTGTTTGAGCGTGACTGCATTGCCCCTGCACATTGTTAAAAAGCTAGTGACTAGTGGCCGAAATACAGCTCGTGTCCCAACTTCCCACATCTGAAAAAGACAAATTTGTCTCAACATTCCCAAACCAGATTGACCTGTAACTATCTGAAATATTAAACCAATAGGCACATGACTAAGCACAATCCTGTGACTTTCATTGTGCCGTAGCAAAATGTTTACTTTGGACCACTTTGGAAATTAAAATAGTAAAATAAACAAAAAAATTCCCTACATGCAATTGATTATTTCCAAGTCAGATGGGAGATTTCACTCACAATTCCTTCAATTCCCTGGGTACAAGGATGCACCCGTTACTGTCAATGGGCAGACTTGCCAGCTGGTCTGAGAGGGAGGCGATGTCCATGGCGTCAACTTCGTGCACCAAATTGGGGCTTGATGGAACTGGACCGCTTGGCGGGGGTAACTGGGAAAGCAAACAAACAGGGATGTTTCAGACTTTAAAAGAAGCATGTTCAAAAACCCTGGGATGTGGTTGGTAGCGGCAGACGCATGTATGGAAAGTGGCAGCCAGCTGGTAACTTCCATGGTTATGCACCCAAAACACAGCCTTAACTGACCACCAAAAAAAACAAGGCTGAGGGGCGGAAACCAATAGACAGTATTTGTGGGTTGGCCATAATGAAACTGAAAGCGAGGTTAACTCTGCATTTTTGCAAGTTGAAAGTACAAATGAAAGACATTATTGAGGGTTGAGAAAGCATATAAATACTTTGTTGAGGGGGCAAAAACTTAGCAGAATCCTCAAACTTCAGCACAGAGGAAAAAAATGGTTCCTCCTCTGCAGGAAACCCCCCAAGAATTAAGTAACAGTCGCTGGGGGCTACATTCTCTGAAAAGTTGTTAAGAACTTTCTGATGGATTTTGAAGGGTCAGGGAGTGTTTGGGAAAAAGATATTGTAGGACCGAGAATGCATCTTGGCATAAAACCAACCTCGGAGGTTAGGATTATTACATGGGCCATGCTTGTCCTCACCTGATCTGTGTTAGTGAATTTATTGGCTGTGGACCGAGGGACCTTGGGTGTCGTGCTAAGGCTAAGCAAGCTGTCCTGCAGGGTGTCTTCAAATTCCATCACTGGTGGCTGGACAGCCTGATCCAGCTGGCAAAGAAACACAAATGAACAACAAAGAAAATGAAGTTGAAGGCTGTAAACGACGGTGTTATTGAACACATTCCTCCCTCGGAACTACTGTCAAGTTGTGTCCTACTGTATTTGTTTTTGTCAGGACATTGAAAAAAAATTTGCTTGAGGACAGAGTCTTCTTTTTTTACAATTTAGGTGAAAAAGTTACATTTAGGCAAAATATTCACAATGAAACTAGAATTGTTAACATCTCTTCATTGATGCATCATCACAAAACAAGAG